GGGGGGGTGTCCTTCTTATAAGCAGGGAAACTGGAAACCTCCCTCTCTGTATGTGTGTGACTTCGAGTTCCTCTCTGTTGGGACTCTGCCTGTTGTCGTCAGGGTTGGCCCTCCAGGGATGGGCCACCTGACCCTGAGAGCTATAGGCGCCCGGCCCTGTTTTCACTCACCTTAGAGCCACATGACTCTTCGTTCATGTGGTCATCACTCTGGGATCACAGAGCCTGTGATCCTCCTGCTTCCTGGTTCACCATTCTGTATCACCAGCAGGCAGCTCAGTGAGTCTGCAGAGGAACTTAGGGACTAGCATCAGACTTAGGGACTTGAGTTGGACCTCTTCTTGGTATATAATTATATCTAGATATAAAGCTTTTTCCTTTTATGTTTTTTTTTTTAAAGACTTTTTTGAGGCGCTCATGGCAACATTTTTGCTGCAGTCTCTCAGGAAAGGGAATAACCCTCTCTCCCAATCGAAAGGGAGGGGAGATCAAGCACCCCTCTCAAGAGGTGCTGCTGTTGTTTAGTGCCATCCAGTCCATTCTAACCCCTATCAACCCCGATTGGTGTGGCTCCAGCTTAAAACCTCCATGCCATCTTCCTACCGAGTGGAGTAGCATGAACATCAAGTTCGGTAGAACTTCCTATCACATTGGCTTCATGCACAATAGAATGAAACCACGCCTGCTCCAGTGTCGTCCTCATGGTCACCAGCATATCCAAGTTCATTACTGCTGCTACTGTGCTTCTACATCTCACCAAGAATCTCCCTTGCTCTCACTGGCCCCGTGTGTCAACAATCATGATGCCCCCCTCTAGTGAGGGATCCCTCCTGATGACATGCCCTAAGTAAGTGGAGGGGGACAATGTTCGCTTGTGATTCATAAGGTTTTCCTTGGCTAATTTTTTGAAACGGATTACTAGGACTTTCCCTCTAGTCTGTTTTCGTCTGGAAGCTCCACTGAAACCTGTCACCCATGGGTGACTCCCGCTGGAATTTTCAACACCGGCAGCATAACTTCCAGCAACAACTTCATGCAAGGCACCGGAGAACGACAAACTGAAGACAGGTGGTGATCTGTACACATGGAGATAAATTCCCACAGAGAAGGAAAAAGACCATATACTAAACTGTTACAAGGGACAAAAGAGAGGAACTCACTTTGTTTTATACATATATATGTATATGTACACACATATATAATATACATAGTGTTTTTTCATTTTTATTAGCATGCATTATTTTTACAACTTAAAAATGCAGATGATGAAGGAAAGGGAAAAGCAAGCTGTGATGGAAAACCAGAAAAATGCCTTTGTCTAAGAACTCAAAACAAGACTTTGAAGCAAGCTGGCAGCACTTTTCCCACCCTGGTGTCACCAATGTCAGGGCCCCCACATGAGCCTAGACGGGGAAGTCAGCTGGATGGGAAAGGAGGCACTCCTGCAAGGAGGCTCAAGAACTTACCCGAGGCTGCCGTCCTCCAGCCAGCCCGTGGTGCACACCGGGAAGGCACAGTCCTTGATCACCCGGCGCAGTTCATCCGCAGATACGAGGTGGGCACCCCTGCTCCTGCAGGAAAACCGAGCTGCCTCCAGTGTCAGGCCCTGGGAGCCATTCAGAGACTCCAGCACAAAGAGCTTCCCTGTGAGGGGACAAGCACAGACACAGGCTGACTCCAGGGCCCAGGGGAATGACAGAGCAGCAACTCACTCTCTGCGCAGATGCCTGTCCGAAGAGGACA